CGGCAAACATAGAGGTATCAGTCTGATCTCCATCGCCTTCAAATTACTCGCCTCCATAATTCTTCACAGACTGATTGGCGCTCGTGAAAGCCAGATTCGTGAGAAGCAAGCCGGGTTTCGTCGCGGTCGTGACTGCGTCGACCACATCCTCACTTTGCGTCAGGTGTTGGAGCACCGCCACACATATTGGCGGCCCACCCTAGTCGTGTTCTTCGACATCAAAGGTGCCTTCGATTCGGTTGATCGATGTGCCATTTGGAATTGTATACTCAGGAAAGGTGTGCCCGAGAAATATGTAAATATTATCCAAGCATTATATGCGCGTTGCACAGACAGAGTGACGGCTTACGGCAAGCTGTCGCCACGCTTAAATACCTCCAGCGGTTGGAGACAAGTATGCCTGCTGTCACCTTTCCTCCCGAACTTCGCTATTGACGAACTCATGGAGTTTGCATTTACAGGACATAACTTGGAAGGTGTGAAGCTACTTCCAGGAGAACGACTTCTTGACTTGGAGGATGCAGACGATATTGCCCTCATCTGTGACAGCTCTCAGACGTGCCAAGCCGCGCTGGACAGATTAGCGCTGGCTGGCCGCCGCTTCGGGCTTTGTTTCGCACCGTCGAAGTGCAAAGCGTTCCTACAAGATTGGTCTGGGCCGCCTCCTACGCTGACCCTTGGTGGGGATCAGCTAGAAGTCGTTTAGAAATTCAATTACCTGGGAAGTTGTATCAGCGCCCTTGGGATCGAAGACGAGAACACGAACCATATAGCGAAATCTCGAAGTGCTTTTGCTAAACTTCGCCACCTATGGCGGCGGCGCGACATCACACTCGCCCTGAAGGGTAGAGTGTACGATGCAGCGGTAGGTCGACCTTACTGTACGGTTGCGATATCTGGTCCCTAAGGTCGGCGGACATGAAGAGGCTAGTTACGATCGACCATCAGTGCTTTCGCTGTTTGGCTCACATATGGTGGGAACACCGCGGGAGTAACGAGCGTGTTCGACGCATTGTTTATGGCACAAGAAAAGCAACAAACCACTCAGCACCGTTATTACATGCACCGGGCTCCGATGGCTCGGCCACAGGTTATGCATGCCAACCCACCGCCTCCTTCGACTTGTGTTGTTTGCTCACCGGGGATGTGGGTGGAAGAAAAGGAGAAGTGGCCAAGCGATGACTTGGTCCAGGGGAAGGAAGTCCCTCACTTCTGAGCTAGCCTCGGTTGGAGCGTCACGGCTCCCTGGGGTCCAAAAGACGGTGAACATGTTTGGCTGGATACACTTGTTGACATGGCAAGGAGCCGACCACAGTGGCGTTCGTGCTGTGAGTTTCTTTGTCCCACCCCATCCCTTTTAGCCTCCCCCTCCATCTACTATCTCATTTCCTAGGGTAAAACATAACATTTCTTTTTCTTTTTGCCTAGTAGCTGGCTGGAAGCATACCGGAACGATGCCTATCCGTTGCTGGTAGCTCAGCTGGCATACAACTGTTGTATCTATTTTTCCTTTGTGTATCGTATTATATGTACGTATGTATGTATTGCCTTCATGTATTGCGGCACAATAGCGAAGGTGTTTTCCCACCTCTAGCTGATGTGTATAATAAATGAATGAATGACATCTCGTATTGCGTGAAGTTTTCTTGAGATAACAACTGGCTTGTTCGCTAAAATTAGGTGTGCGAATTACAGTGGTTCAAGTCCAGTCATCAGCTTTGTGCGCTAAGTGATACTCGCGCATGCGTTCAGACAAACACCTTGTAGTTGGACCTAGGTAAACTGTACTAGTTCTTCGACAGTAACGAACTAAAACTTACGTAACAAGCATATATTTTTGATCATTTTGCTGTCGCATTCTACCAATATTCTTGTTACCAAGGTTACTGACTGACTCGCTGAATATATCGAGTGGACAGCTAGACAAATTGACATACCGATAAAAGACCCTGCTTCATCAGTGCACCCACAACGCTTACGTTTGCTTTGACCTACAGTTATACCGACAAAATGTGGGCTAGTTAGGGGTCACCATTGTGTCCCTTGTTCAATGAATTGTATAGGATTAATTAAATGTAAGTCCGCTGAGGGCAATTATTCGGCTAGTAAGATGATGCAGTATACATAACTTACGGCTCCATGGACTAGGTTGACAAATTTCGAAAATGTAATCGGGTCTTCAATAATATGCTTGCATGCAAACCTAATTAGATAAAGGATTGACTATTGTTTGCGTCGATATGCGCGCCAGCCAAATTTCTGGCTCTAGAGAAGTATTCAAAGGAGAGCAACATGATTGGGCTAGTATAAATGCTATTAGAACCTTATTGAAATGCAACAAATGCAGAACCTAGTCCAGTGTCACGTTGTAGGAGCGATATAAATGTGTTTTGAGGATTTTATGAAGGCAGGGTGTACCGTCGTTAGAAATGTGTTCCATTATAAGTCCTATCCAAAGGTTTTGATTATCAAGAATATGCGAATAGATATTTTGTTCACCAATAAACCCACAATGGGAAAAAACCCGTCTACCATTCGTAGTCGTTCAAGGAAGATAAACATTCCGAACACTGCAACAAACGAATAAGTGCGGCCTCCATTAACAGCTATGGGGCCACAATGTTACACGTTTTCTTCACTACCACACCCATACCAAATGCTCAGCTGAAGGGTAATATCTGTGGCTGAAAATTTCGTTTGTATCAATCTTCTATACGTTGCTGTTTGCAATCGTATTTAATTATTTGTTTAAGTCCGAATGCGTGTATGTGTAATTTTATGTTATAGGTATTTTTATTACTCCGGCATTTCACCACACAATCGAGTATAAGGAGCAATTGGTTCCTCCAGCGGAATATTAAGTAGGGAATTCTGTAATCCAGTACAAACAGTTCGCACCGTCCGACCAAAAATATCCGTGTATCTTGATGGGTGTTCGAATTCGGCAGCAGCTGTTGCAATTGAAATAAAGTTGTATGCTACTTACTGCAGACATGTTGCCTTGCACAGACTCTTGATCAATCAATTGTTTTTTTCAATGCAATCAAACCTCGCCTAGACCCTCCTTTTTTGAAATTGCTCAATAGATATGTGAGCTTCAAAGTCAGGATCGCAAAGTCGGATGTGTGTCTCGATTTTCTTTGTATGTGTGTCGAGCTGTAAAAGCCTGATGAAGAATTATCGAAAACATATATTCGCTTACAGAGACTTTTAATCAATTAATAACGTTTGTCAATTCAGTAATGCAGATATGTTTTCAAACCTTTTTCCACAACTTCGATTCCAATTTTAGAAGGGAACCAAGTTAAAATTAGCATTGTTGTCTTACGCAATTGACCGTTTCATTTCGCTCCACGAAGTTGTCCGAGATTCATTTATAGTTAAGCATGGGCACAAAATAAGAGAAACGGTCAAACGTAGTGTCAAGAAAAATTTGGGGATAAAAGTCATCGTCGTGGCGGATGACAGGCTAGAGTTAGAAGCCGTGCTCTCAACTATGCACAATTTCCGCATATCCTGCGCAGTAAAGTCCAGTCGCCTTTGGGGAAAACTGATGAACTTGAATATGTTTTGCAAAGATAAGTATTCTAGAACGAAATTGCAGATACGTTAAAAAGCACATGGTTATATCTCGACATCCAAGATGGATTGAAACTCAATGGCTATCGACAGATCAGAACTGACCATCTATGAAATAATCAGCACCTCAAAGGAGGTGCCGTCTCATGCATCGGAGATGGTTGGTGCACATCCGTTTGACAGACGTATGCTTACTCAAAGTCTTCAATACGTTACCACTTGTTGGATGGTGAATCAATGTTTATTAGTAGTCTCCTATATGTCCTAGTTAGGAATGTTTATGCAATGCTTAACTCAGATAAAAGTCTTTTCCGCGACTGCTGATAGCGCGGTCCACGCAGCGTTTCGCTTCTGCCTTTCTCAGGCCTGTTTACCATCTTATTTAGACAGTAAAAGTCATTTTTATCTCTGTTTTCTGTGGAATTTTGTATCAGTAGTGATTGTAATTTATTTTGTAAAATGCTTGTGTTAGTTTATTCTAAATCTTGCGATTCGCTGTTATCTTATTTCAGTCGTAACGGCCGGTTTCTGTTTTTGGATGACTAAGCAGAATTTTTGTATTAGTTATTCTAACTTGGATATTAATCGGAACATGCACTTTCTGCGATGTAAACTTACATATGTAATATTAATTATTTACCCAATTGTTTATTAATTTTGTATTTAACTAATTAACCTTATCTGTCGCTCCATCTAAACCAGCTTATCTTTAAGTGTGAGCTTCGCTAAATGTTGTGTGAAAGGTGTCAGCTTAAATTGCGAACATCTGCGGTCAAGAAAACTTGCCAGCCTGCAAGACGGGAATAGCATACTTGCTTACTGGCAGCCAGCTCACCAGGGTGATAACTACCGGTTCTGTAGATTCAGCTGGTTAAATTGTGTCTGTGTTGCACCCGAGGTGCTTTAGTAACCCGATTTGCGATAACTCAAGCGAAAGAAACGAATGGTGGACACAACAAACTATGAAGAAGATAGATCGCCGCGTTGCAAACTTAAGAAATTTACGACTTGCGTTAACAGATACGAATCTTTAGGCCCGTTAGGTTCACGGTCCAAATAATAATGAGCATAATTATTAGGTTTTCCGACGTGTAAAATTGGGTAGGGGGAGTACTGGCATTAACAATTATGCTTTACAAATGACGCAATCCCGAAGCTGGTACTATCCTGCCATGCTAGACTAAAATGGGTTAAGATCCATTTGTATGCAGTTTGTAGTCGTCGGACCGAGATAAACTGGAATCCGTTGACACTGGGTTGAATTGGCTTACCCATAGCGAAGTAATATTCTCATCGTATATTTTCGGGAGTTTACAGGGTTCGCCAAACCCGGATAAACAAGATCGATGACACTTCATGTGCGTTTGGCGGTTTCAAGAACGGTCTACGTGTAGCCGTGTCCGTTTTGTTGAAGATATTTTTCACCCGAGCAACATCTCAACAAAAGCATAAAAGGGAAAGCAAGAGAAAAAGTGTGAAGTGGGCGTCCGGATACACCATCTTCTCATCAGATTGGAATTGATGAGGACAGTGCCACCGTTATTGTTCGGAGGAGCAGCGCGGGCACCAGTAGCGTTCATCAGATGGGAGGCCTTGTGGTGTTGCTGCATGTGATTTAGTGAAGCGTTGCCCACGGCCAGATGAGCGAGTTCCGAATTCTGCAGCGCGCTTCCATGGATAGCTGCAGTGAGCTCGGCGAGATTGGGATCGGCAGCCATGGAATGAACACAGACGGCGTTGTTCTGTGACGTGAAAGCCATAAAGCTAGCAGTTGCAGTCGCCAAGGCCGGAGTAAGTGCAAACTCCGAGTGCGGCACCAAATCTGGAAGCTGCTTAGTCACATCACCGAAGCCAGCACCACCAACGCTTGACGAAGCTATCATTCCGACGGCAAGGTGAATACCCTGAGTGATTGCGGAAACTACAACATTAGAGAATTAAGAGGCAAGGTTGCCAGGGGAATTCGAATGATAAGCACCATTGGCAAGGCCAAACGAGGTCGACGATCCTACGGGATATCGCCTGAGATTCGCGAGCTCATCTTCCGTCAAGTGATTAGTGTTATAATCTCGGCATTTATCGTTTTCATGGCGCACTTCCAGGGGACCATGATTCTTTGAGAATTCGACTCGCAAAGAACAACAGCTAGTGTAAATATGCTGCCCGTTTAAGTGCTACATGGCCAAGAAGACATGGATATGGTCCTCGAATTCGAGTAGACCATGATACTGATTATTATTTAAAATTGTTATGACACGAAGGACATTCCCGTATCGGTGGAAAATTTTGTACAAGATGGCATGGTTGATTTTGTTGGCTCATAACGTTGTAAAACTACACCCGCGAAACAGTGACTGTAACGCCTGCGATTGCTCCGCCGAGATTTTGTAGCACGATGCAATTCGCGTTCTTCAGTGTATCACCAATGTGAATGTTCTCTAAATGGAGCTGCAAACACCGATGCTTTGAAAACTGCATCACTAAATTTTTGCCTCGAAGTGCAACCAGGAACTTTCGACAGTGAGCAATCATAGGCATAGCATTGTTAAATCTTGCATTTCAATAAGGGCCTGTCCAGCCTTTTCGGACGAAAAACCATGTTTTTAAAGAGTGCCAAAAATCATTCCAAAAAGCGCGATCTCACGATCGGAAACATTGGTGGGCATGTTTCGAAAGTGGACCACATTGGATGGTATGGATTCCACATATTCGACGAGAGATTTTTGTTGTCATCTGTATCGACGTCCATGGGCAAATGAGTATCACCGTTCATTATAAGACCGTTGGACACATCCCATTTCCGTTTAATGAAAATAAAAACTGGATAAGCGATCGTATATATATATGTTTGTGCGAGAAAATAATTGGAACACAACTTTTCATATGGAATTTTGGAGGTCAAAATTCGTAAAATGATGCACAATGTCGCTAATATAATTATATTTTGATTAAGGTAACCAAACAGCTGATACGTGGCTTTCCTATTTAAAATAAATCGAAGCCTTCATTTGCCACGTGGTACTGGTGTTTGATTTCGCTTGTATTCTGCATATTTTATAACTCCAAGAAGGGTACAAATAGAGCTTTGTTTAAACTTGATGAAAATTGTAATATCTCATTCAGTTACCTATCCTGCTTCTGATAAAATGAATTTGGGTGTGGCGTACAAAGTGCTTTCAAATAATATATGCTGTTCAAACTAAGAAAATATTACAGGTTTCGTTCGTTAATCAGCTCCGGTTTTTTAATATCAAAGACGATTTATTTTCCTTCAATGTATATGTAGTTAACACGCAAATATTAAACCTGGAGTTCGCTCACCTTGACGTGTGTATTCGACAGATTCTCACCAATCTAGACTGCATGCTACACTGAAGACATAGCGTAATTTAGTAATGAAACGACTGCAAGTAAATGCCCGACTCGGAGGATAGAACAAGCCTATAATCTACATCCCTAGCTAAAGGTATTCTCAATAACTTGGAAAGTTGACGCGTCGAACCTCCACATTGTCCATCGCCGAGGGCCGATAAGCTGTTTGTCTCTTTTCGAAGTGGCCTAGAAGGGTTTTGGACTATCGAGGTCACTCTCTAGGTCACTCTCCTAGGAGCTGATCTGGAATCTGTATAACGGAAGCTAATACGTGTATTCATCTTCACAGCGTTACTAAACAAAGCCCGGTTTGTATTTAATGCATTTGAGAACACGTTTTTTGAAGTGGGGTTGGCCTTGGTGCTGGTACGATAAAACGTACCGAAGCTAACATGACCGCATATTTAAATATTGCGAATTAAGATTGAAGAAAGTATTTCGTAACATTTAATTGAAGAGATGAATAAGGGAGGTATATTTTGTGGACATACTTATGCGGCGAGTACTAGCTCACTTAATTAACGACGCAGCTGCTTTTAGGATACAGACTACGTAATTTAACTAATGCTAGATTCTAGCTAATAATTGTGCAGTATATTGTTTTAGTGTCAACAGTATGTTTGCCGGCAACATCTCTTCATATGCAAAGTGGGTATTTTTTGATAGATTTAGTGATACTTAAAATATACGCATATATTATTTTAGCGTATGTGGAAACGAAACGGTTAATGACTCCTGTATTAGGCGGATGTTTATATAATAAATAAACTTGATGTATACATTAGGCGATAAATCCAGCTTTGGTTTTCCAATATTTTAATTAATTAATCTGATATATTAGACTGTATAAAGTAGATCAATATGGGTACATAGCTTAGAACTTTAGGTTTATCAGGCAAGAAAATAAAATTGTTAGAGTTGGATTGTCTGCAAGTTGAAACCTCATACTCACTTTAGATGATGTATGATGGTTCCGTTATGGAATTAAATCAACATAGGGGTTTCACTTCCTGTGTCTGTCTCAAAAATATCAGTTAATTTCCGTAGATATAAGGAATGTCAAGTGTTAGCTACGTGCGATCTTTGAATCCATTTTTTCTGCGTATATTCCTATAATTGCTAAATAAACAACGAAAATTGCGCGCCAAACAAGCTCTAAATAAATTATTCTATTTGATAAACGTTTTCACTGTCCCATCCGTCCATTGGTTGGATCCTTTTATTTTCCTAGATTAAGGCACTAAGGATAGTAAATCGACGCCTTAAAATATGCCAACTATGGTGTAAGTGGTGTAAATTTGGTCTGCTTGCTTCTAAAACTATCAGAAGTAGGTTGCAAAAATACGAATTGAGCACATATGACTGCGAATAGTAACATATACATGATGAAACACAATAAAATTGTTTATCTATGAACAGCATATAAGATTTTATTTTAGTTGTTACATTAGTGCTCAGTAGGTTTTTGAACTAGATGATCCTTCAACGTCTATCGTAAACGATAACAAATGAACCATCCGTAAAACCTAGTATTAAACGCAGCAGTGGACAAATGGTTTCATTGGAGAATAATGTGCATAACGCTGATCAACCTGCGTTACTTTGCTAGTCTTTTATATTTATGAAATTTTCTTTGAATTAAACTGCACCATCATATTAATCCTAACCTTATGGCTGCCGTAAAAATAAATATTTATCACCTGATACCAGCACAATTTTTGCCATGACCATTTGATTCTTTGCTGAGGCTAAACGAACTAAATTAAGTAAACCGCACTTCATGGATTACATGCGTATGAACGGCCTAATTTTTATTAAATATCCAAAAAGCTGACTTCTGTGATATTTATATGTATATTATCCATTAATAAATATTTTTTATTTATCGACGTACATCTATGTATTTACTATCTGATTTAGTTTTTTATTCGAAGTGTATTAATGGCAGTAAGTTCCTGAGGTGCCGGCCTGTAGCCCTAATGATCACAATTCTGCCTTGTTATCCAAAGGCACCATTTCCAGAGTGCCTATGAACCGGAAGAGTCTCGCAGTTTCCTAAACCTAGATGCAAATGTTGGCAATTGCGCGGCTGTGAAATCTCCGTACTGCGTACTGGCTATTGCTGATGCATTTCTTGGCCCTCCGAGAGCATTAATGGATACAAACCTGCTTTGTTATCCAAGGGTGCAGCTTCGATCCTGGTTAGGGACCAGACTAACCCAGCAGTGTCATTAGCCCATTTGCGACTAGTGATGTTACCGGCTCATGGCCTTTAAGCTCATAAGCACGCTTAGTAATCTGAGGGCGCGGGTTCAGGCATGTTGGTTTCAGGGCGATCGTCACATAATTATCAGCCCATGCGCAACTGGTGGTGGTCGCGCGAAATCGGAATATCAGTACCAGGTACGTGCCTATTGCTGACGCATTTTCTACAGGTGTGAAAAATTGAAAACCATATTTATGGGGTGGCAAACTATTAAACGGGCCTTGAATAAAAATAAAAATAGAAAGCGCAATATTTTACATTATTGATTATATTTATTCGGAATATCTTCCATTGGCATATGAATTTCTGTCAACGTTTGAGCAAGTCATGTGTTTCTGAAAACAATCTACATTTTCAGATCCAATAAACGATTGAGAAACCTTTTATAAGTTTATTTTGTTATGAAATATTTCTTAAAAATAAACGGTACAGAGATGTAAAATTCGTTGGTGCAATATCTGGTGAAATGGTAGAAGTGTTAAACTTTCTTATTATAACGAATTAATTTGTCAACAATGACTGAACCTTTATGTGCTCCTGCATTATTAGACAGTAATATTGCGCCCATCAGTGAGTGACGTATTCGTTTTCTCATAAGATTCTCAAGCATGACATCAATTTTATCGCAATAGGAACCCGCTATTATGGTTTCGCAGGTTTGTATGAAAGAATAATTGATTACTTCTTTGGATTTATGATGCTTACTTAAGGAAACCTAGGTTTCGTGGTTTGTCCAGATGTGTATTATTGTCAACCAATTTGTTTGATTGTTTTGAGTATTAGAACATTTTAATTTTCTTACAAGTAATTATAAAGTGTAAAAGCGGCAATAGTGCGATAATATGCAACAAAGATTCGTACTTGCTATTGTGGTCGACTATCTAAATTCGTGTTAGTTCGTAGGGCACATGTGAGTACAATTTTTTAAATTATTTATTGCACGCAAAGGTTTAACACCGCCTTGTGGCTTGTTTCCATTTTAGGCCCAAATTGGCGAATAGTTCTGCGTGGATTAGCCTTAACTTTTCGTTAACAAGAGGTACCAGTGGTTTTCCGCCAGAATTGTGGACGATACTCAAATTGTCAGAATGAAAATTTGGAATGAATATCAAGCATTGCTTTCATTATTGGATCCATCTCCGAAAGCGTGAATAAAGATTCTTAAGTCTTGAGTTGCGCTATAATTCAATTTTAACTAGCGTAAGAAAGGTAGGCGCAAATCGCTTTTTGTTTTCATCTGGTTTC